TTTCAGTGGGGAGGGGAAGGTACAGGGAAGAATAAGCATAATTGGTAGGCACAAAATAGACAGGGAGAGATAAAAAACAGTATAGAGAACAGAGAACTCAAAGAACTTATGTACAATCCATGGACATGAATTAAGGGGAGGAATGCTGGAGGGTTGGAGGGGGGAAAAAGTTGGGACAACTGTAATAGTATAATAAAAAATACTGTAAAAGGCCCTGGCTGGTGTGGGTCAGTGGATTGAGGGCGGACCTCCGAACCAGACAATCGAGGTTTGATTCCCAGTCAGGGCACATGCCTGGGTTGCAGGCCAGTTCCCAGCAGGGGACGCACGAAAGGCAACCATACATTGATGTTTCTCTCCCTCTCTCCTTCCTTTCCCCTCTAAAGATAAATAAATAAAATCTTTAAAAAAAAAGAGTCCACAACAAAATTTAAAAAAATACTGTAAAAGAAAAAGGATAAATACTAATAGGCTAGATTTTTTCCAGCAATTGAGTGTCTCTGTGAGGAGATGCTGTACCAGTCTGAGTGTATTTGGATGTGGGGATACGCTTTTGTTCTTGAAGTCAGAGAGGTTACTGAACCTTATCTCTACACACTCTTCATTCTACATATGTATGTGGGAGGGGAAGACAGAGGGGACTATATGAGGTCTGTCAGGAAAAAAAGTCCAACGATTGTTAATATAACAAGAACTGTTTGCAAACATTGATGTAACCTGGCAGCCCAGAGGAGTGGGCTGGAATGCTCATGCATGAACAGTGAAGACTTCACTGTACCAGTCAGTGGGGGCCATAAACGGCATTGAATGAGCGTGTGTACTGTGTGGCCGTGTATTCAAAATGAGTGAGTAGAGCAACAGATCTGCACCTAATCGTGTGTTACGCTTGAACACTTCTCTGTGGAAACTATTCAGATGATTTAGAAGCCTGCAACTATGGATATCTGGTGATGGGCAGCTTCACTACGATGACATAGCTGCTCAAGCATCACATTTTGTGCAGAGTTTTTTGGCAAAAAATCAAATCACTCAGGTGACTCAGACCACCTATAGCCCAGATTCAGCGCCCTGCGACTTCTGGCTTTTCCCCAAACTAAAATCACCTTTGAAAGGGAAGAGATTTCAGACTGTTGATGAGATTCAGGGAAATACAGCAGAGCAGCTGATGGCAAGTGAGAGGACTGTGTGAGGTCCCAGTGTGACTACTTTGGCAGGAACTGAGGCATCACTGTCCTATGTACACTGTTTCTTGTATCTTCAATAAACGTCCTTATTTTTCATATTAATGGCTGGATACCTTCTGGAAAAACTTTGTATGTATATGGGAAGTTTTTTCCTTATAGTTGGAAAGAGAGTAACTTTAGGTACTGGTCACTAGGATGAAAACTGCTGGACTGCCGGAAGGTGAGTGTTTCAGTATCTGAAACAAATGCAACATGGACTGCTGTCTTAGTAGCTGAGCTCTTGGGCTCTCTCAGGAGAGGCAGGCCAGGAGTATCAGAAGGAAAGGTCACTTGCTGGGGCGATCTTAGAGACCCAGGTGCGTGATTCATGAGAAAAGCAAGAAATCTCTCCTAGAGGGTATGGCCCCGAGATCCCAGATGGTGAACAGATTTCATCTTGACACCTTCCTTCATTCTTAATTATGTGAAGGCCTTCTACAAGCCAGGCACTGTTTGAGTCGGGTCCCCTGGTGGTGGCTGTCTCAGCCCTGGGTTTCTGAGAAAAGCTGTGCAACCTCGTGGGAAGGAGTCATGGTTGATTGGGGTGAGGGGAGAGGGTCAGACGCAAGGGCAGGATGGAGCAGTACACACCGCACACCTTCCAACCCTTCCCGGGCTTTTAGGTGAGCCCCACAAATAAGCTATGAGCTGACACGGTAAGGAAACAGGGGCCACACAATCCGGGGATGGAGAGGGGATGACCAGAGGCCTGGGTAGGCAAGGGGTGCAGCAACAGAATTTGCCCTTGCCGTTTGCTGTAGAAAGAGAGGTACCTGTTCCGGCTCACTCCAAATGCTCCTCTACCCCAGGGGAGGATGCTAAATGCCCCCTTCTGTAAGGAGCTGCCATGGTAAAACCAGGGGGAGTGGGCATGAAGAGGTTAAAATTAGGAAGGAAAAGGAAGAAATCACATTAAAAGAGATGGGGACTTAAACCACAGCAAAAACAAGCCACCCAGAGCAGTGCTTATTGCTGGCTTAAGCCGTACCCCTGGAGTTTGCTGGGCTTGATGACTTGTCTGTGGCCCTCTGATAAATAATTAATTCATCCAAACTTATATGCCTATTAGAGGAGTCTTTTACATTCCATGACTTCCCAGCTCTCTCAGCCTGGCTTTAGAGCCACACTGCACTCCTTCTGCCTCCACAGGCTCCCTGCAGCTGCAGTCTGCTGATGACACCTGAGCCACAAATGACAGGCCAGGACAAAATTCTGCTGAGCGGAGGGTTTGCTGGGCTTGGTGCAGAGATTCAAAGATGGCTCATAAAGAAAAATAATGAGTCAAAAGCTGATTAAACATCAATCATTTCTATGTCTCTAAACCTCGAGGAACGCCAGAATTGCTTTCCTCTCCAGTAACGAGCCTGAAAACCGTTCATTCCGCAGACATTTGCTTCTCTGCATCTCCAGTTCTCTGCTTACAATGTGGATTGGAATAAATTGCTTTTAAATTGCTCAGAGACACAGAGAAAGGAGTTAGAGGCAGAAAGGGTTATATATGCAAAGCCTGACTGGTCTTTAGTGTCATTATTTCAAAGCCCAAGATTCATTCATTTTAGTGCCTGTTGCTGTGCTCTGGGTATAAGGGGCAGAGGGTGTCTCGGCAATACGCTGCCTCATTTTCATCATATTTGCCACTGTTTTAGCCATAATTCTATGTGAAGTACTTCAGTATATTCTAGACAGATGACTAGGTGATACAAAATGAGACCACTGACATCCTCTGAAGGCATCAGTTTTTCAAGGATAAATACACTGCTTCTCATGCTCAGAATTCAAGCCGCAGTCCTTGGTTGTTCGGCAATCCCTGACCCGGTGGCCTGGACCACCCAGGCCTCTTCCCTTTCCCTCCCTTAGATACAGGGGGCCTCAGCCTCGGCCTGCTTCCCATTCTCTCACAGGGTAAATGGATGGTAGGTAAGTGAGAATTCTTTTAAAACTCGCAAGGCTGAGTAAGACATTCACGAGGTCAGGTTAATGGAAGTGTGCGAGACGGCAATGACATCCTGCTGAAAACCAGCGTTGCCAAAGGTTATTTTAAAGGAGCTTACACTTTCCCTACAACCCATGTGGGGAAAGTAAAATGAGGGCTCACACATGCTAATGGTTCCAAAATATCACCTAGGACAGACGGTGAAGGGAAGCACACAGCAAAGCTATAGGAACGCACTTCGGGCCTGCCTGCCACAGTCATCAGGCTACAGATGACCTTGGGAGGAAACAAAATCCTAATTAAAGCAACCACATCTTTGTCCAGGGAGATAAACAACTTATCAAACTGTTTCATTCATGGCATTACACAAATGGCTGGGAGGCAGAAATGGTCAAATGCATTCATTTGCGTGTGGAGAAACTGAGGCAGAAAAGAGATTCATATTCTTTTGCCTTGGGCATATCCATGAAATGTTCTTAAATGTGAGTGTTTATTCATGAGGTCGATAAGTCGAGGGCCAGCACAGCTTTATTTTGCAATAAAGAAAGTCATGACTTATGGCCAAGATGACCACAGGGACTGAGGGCAAAGCCGAAAGCTCCACCTGTTTCCTCCTGTTCACGGGGAAGATAAGAACAGCACCTGCCCTGCCCACCTCCGAAGGCTGCTGTGAGAATCACACAGGACAGCAGGCGTGAGTGCGCTTTCCAAAACCAAACTATCACACCGTAAGTGCAAATCCCTATTATGCCACAGAAGTTCATCCACTCAGCCTCTCTCCCCTACTTTGGAAGTGAAAACACATTCAGTCGGGGGCCAGAGCTGAAAAATTCACTCTTGATAATGATGAGTTTCTTTACCCTTTACTAAACCCTGCGGCAAGGCTTTGCTTGTTTTTGTGACTCCGAATCCCTTGCGCGATGCCTGGCCCATAGAAGCTGCTCGGTCAGTATCTATAATATTCATAAATGACAGCTTAACAATAAACATGAGAAAGCTTACCTAGCACATTACCAACCCTTCAAAACCAAACTCTGATCCATTCACTTGGTAATTCCACGGCAGAATTTCAGACACTGGGTGGACCTCCCCACGGTGTCCAAACAACACATTCATCACACCCCCGGACAGTCCTCTACCAATGGCTCCCCCAGCTCCCTACGCCAGGTGGTCTGAACTCTGTTTCTGTCTGTGATAATCAGACCCTCAGTCCCTTATCACATTTTATCCTCCGCCCTTTCCCAACACTCGTCGGACTAGCTGGGCTGGTTGTGGGCTCCCTCCACCTCCACCACCTGACTCTCAGTCCTGTCTGTCTGTCCCAAATGCCAGGTGTACCCACACCCCGTCTGTTTTTCGCCTCACACGTCTCTCCTGTTGCCCTCCCTGCTCCTCGAGCCTGAAGGAGCTTCTCCCTCGTCCGGACTTCCTCGGTGTGCAGTCCAGATGAGGAGGTGTGAGGCAGAGCTGGTCGGGGAACCGAGCCCTTGGAGGTAAGCACCACAGGCTTGCGGTGAAAGCCGCTGCTCCGTCAGGAAGTCCAGCCCTTGAGACGGGGTCTTCTCACCTTTCCTGTTTGCCACCTCATTCCAGCCCCTTGCTTGATGCCAGGCACAGAGTAAAACTGCAGTAAGTGTGTTTTAAATGGTAGCAGCCTCATTCCACCACACGCTAACTCGTCAGCTCCAGCCCATCTCGAAATGCACTGTCCAGCAGTGACCTAAGAGCCGCTGCAACACTGAGAAGACAGCGTGAGCGCGTCTGACTCCACTTTCAGTGCCAGTGGAATAAACCTGACAACAGTTGGTCACTGATGAATTTCTACAAAACTACTGAAAACTTACCTTGGTTTCGCGGAGAAGAAACTGCAGGTCCCGCCCACTGAGGATGCCATGGTTTTTCACGTAACTGGGAATGTTCTTTGTGCTGGAGCCGTAAACGGTGGCGTGCACTTCCATGTACGTGTGAATGATATCCAGGTAGAGCTTCTTGTTCTACAGAGGGGACACAAGAAGGTGTCTCTCATTTCTTTTCAGTCTCATAACTGCCCATCACATGGGGGAGGCCACAGAAATAGGAGTTCCTAATATGGAGATGGCAGTAATTTGGAAATTCAACTCCTAACATTTCTTTCAAAAGGAATCTGAAAGGATTTTCAGGGTCAAAATGGTCACATGGCCACTGAACAGTTTTGCAAGAAGAAGCACATTACATAGCAACATACTACTGAACACCAATGCTAACTCAAGGCCAATTGTTTTGGAGTTATCGTCCTCGCTTTGTAAACTACTAAGGACCCAACACTTTGGTTTAGGCTGGTCTGCCTACAGGCGACCATGGTGGGGGAAAGAAAGCCCAGGGAAGGCAGTCAGTTGAACTTGAATCTTTATCCGGAGATGCTGTGCTGTCCCTGAGGAATGCAAACATCTCCAGCTCTTGCCAATATTTCTAGTGATGATTAACTCATGTTGTCAGAACAGGATTCCACCGAATTTGCATGATGAGAAGAGAGTTTCCCACAGTACACAGTGACTGACTCGGCAGCCGGAGAGATATGACTAGCCAGGTAGACAAAGGTGGAAAGAAGATTAAATGTAAACTCTGATGAAACATTCGAGAGTAGTTTTACTTTTATTAGCAGCAAAACGAGACCTGTTTTCTCCACTCCATTTTGAGGCACATTTTCCAAATGAAAAGTAGGCGTGAAGCAGAGGCGGGCTCCCTTCCCTGCCTCTCCGTGTTCCCACATGGTCGAGATGCAGAAGATGCATTTCGTGGGCTGCCTTTTTTTTCTTTTTAATTTGAAAGATTCAAGTTCTGTAATGTTCTCCAGTTGTACAGAAGTGAGGCAAGGTTTCCCGTCTGAGCCTGCGACACTGTGGCAGCCCCAGAGCTCGGAGGCGGCACTTCTCTGCCTGCCCCGGGGGCTGGGCCCCGGCTCTGACCACGCGGGGCAGCTCCTCGTGGCGTCATGAGCAGGGCTCAGGGTTAGCCCTCTGCCATTTGCTGCCCTGTGAGAGTATTACAAAGGACTCTCAGCTTTGGGGGTACATGTTTCGAGAGCCTTCCTGACTGGGAAAGCAGTACAGGCCTCGTTCTCCAGGAGGACTTTGTTCGGAATCAACCAAATCCAACTCTGCACCCTGGTGTGTGAATAAGATGAACACTTTGACTGAAAGTTTAATTTCATGCCATGTCTAGTGTGGCTGGAAAATATTATATTCATTCCATCAGAGATGTATGCTCTTGAATTAGTGCAGAAGTTACTACAAACCATTTATAAACCATGACTTCCCATTCAGACCTTGAGCCAAATTTAGGATCACCCCCCCCCAAGGTAAGTTAAATTTGAGGGGCTCTATGACATTGTTCTTTGCTAGTTATTAGCTGGTAACTCCTACCCCCACGAACCCCCTCGCGGGGACTTCATCCGCACCCACACCCCCTGCCACTGCTGGCTGGCCCAGGCTGTGTCTGACCTGAGGGCACCCGTCCCTCGGCTGGCCTGCAGCCTGGGACAGTGTGTTCAGGCTCAGGCAGATGAACTGAGCCAACCAGACCCTCTCTGGGGAGCGCAGAATCCTGTACACAGGGAGATTACTGCCAGATGGCTCCAGGCTTTCGAGCAAAAAGGTCATTCAGTGTTGGAGTCTGGGCAATCATAGGCCAGATACAAGTTCTGAGGAAGCCAGCTGCCAGTTTTGGGGGGTGGAGGTGGGAAGAGAATGAGGTAAGAGCTGAGAGAAAGGAGGAAAGCGGGAGACAGAGAGTTGGTAATAAGAGTGACCAGACAGTGACTGAGACCTAGATATCACCCTGCAAGTATGACAGACAGAGGGTGGGGAAGGAGGAATGACAGAGAAGGCCAGTGGAGAGGGGAGGGGGTGGGGGGGGAAGAGGACAAAGAAGAGGAAAAAGAGGAGGAAGAGAAAAGAGAGGAAAGAAAGCAGAGACAGAAGAGACCAGGGCCCAGAGCTGCTCTGGGTCCCGTCCCACCCATGGCGGCTCCGTATCCTAAAGCACCCAGGTCTTTCTGGACCTGCACCGTAGCAGCAGCTGCCCAAATTCTTCCCGCCTCCCACCTTCACTTGAGCTGCTCTGGTGGATTCCCATCATCCGCAAGGAGGCCTGGCAGGACATTTCACTGCGCTTTTGGTAGAAACTGGAGTAGGGGTGAGGGGAAGGCATCTTTCCCCGTGAAAACCAGCTGCTAACGAATGAAGATGCATAAAAGGCCCCTGCAGCAGGTCTGCGATGAGTGACCAAGGAGGATGCGAGTGGTCCTCCTGGCTCCTGTCCTGGGGAAGAACACTCAACTGTGGACAGACTCCAGGGTGGGCTTCTGAGGCCGAATGCCTCGGACGGGAATGCTATTTGGGACACAGAGGTATCACCAGCAATCCCAGGCCTCCTTGAAGTACAACCGGGGGCAAGTTCAGGCAGATATAAAGTAATGCAGGAGCTAATAAAGTCTATGAACTTATTAACATTAAGGCATGGAAAATCTGGAAGCAGAAATTACCTGCAGAGAGGACTCATGTAATTTCATGAAAAGAAAATCACAGCAGGTTATTAGAAGGGAAAAAAATGTTTCCAACAGAACTCTAACCTTTGAAATTGCCACTAGGTGATGCCAGCCAGGTCTCATGTCACCACTTGCCAGAGATCTGTAGGAATCTGGCGGGAGTGAACCACGCTATGGGTTCAGGTAAAGGTGATGTGGGAGCCACTCACACTGAGCTGCCCCCTTCCCAATATTCACGCTCGCTGGATGCTAAAGGAACCTGAAGGGGAATCTTCAGCTCAGAATCGCTGCCTGAACTTCAGGTCCAAAGATCCAACTACCTCTTGGGCCTCTCTACCTGAGTGTGTGGTAGGCGCTTCCAACCCCACAGGTCGAAGAGGGCCTCATCACCCCTTCTTACCCCGGGGTGGCGTCAGTGCCCCGCCTCGCTCCCAGTCTCAGCCACAGACATCTCCCAGTCGGGTGCCCACCCAGGAACCACACCTGTCATTCCACACATCAAATTAGTCAGGCACCATTGCTGATTCTGCCTCCAAAGCATCACACTTGCCTCCTTCCCTTTAGTTCTTGATCCTCGCTCACCTGGATTGTGTCAAGATTAACAAAACCAGCATTTTAACACGTCTCTCTGTGGCTCAAAAAGGTGTTGCTCATACATGGTTTCTACAAGTAAGCAGCAGTGTTGAGACTACAGAAGAATTTGTCTGGCAATGCCATTTTTGAAACCACGTGAAGCAACACTATTCAATATAATGTATAAGGACAACATTCTCAGACATGGATAGTTACATAGCCAAGTACAGAACGATACATGGAGATGACAGGCACCGGCTCTGGGGCAATAATTACGGAGGAAGGAGAGAGGGAGGTTTAGGGAGGTGGATGGAGCTTTACTGATATTTGTGATATATCATTTCTCTGTTAAAGAACAATACTGCAAAATAAGAACATCTATAAAACTGGGTGGCAGGTATATGTGCTGCAGTTAATATATTTCACAATAAGATAGAAAACTTAAAAATATACGCAATCAAGAAAAAAACAGAAAGCAGCCAGTATGACTTCCAAGCTTGCGCCATTGACACCGCACTGGGGGCTCAGTTCTTGCCATAAAGAGGTTCACAGAGCCCCTCTCCCTTCTCTGTTTAATGTGCATTGCCATCTTCTGTGTTTAAGAAGTGGGGTGCTGAGGTCGCCTGTTCAGCGTGACCCTGCCTGCCTTTCCCACGGGAGGGCCCAGTGTGCCAGTAACACGCCCCTCCCCCTCTCTTCCGGAAGCAGGTGTTCTGTGGATCCAAGAACTGGAGCAGCCCCAGAAAGCTTTCCCTCCGTGACTTAGGAGACCAAGGTCAATGACAACTGCCTACTCCCTAAAAATGATCACCTACAAGTCTGTCGAGAGGCAGTCAAGAGGGTCCTGGCGCCGAGTATCCCAGCACCGCATGCTGCACGCTGCTACCTGCCTGGGGTGATCAGTGAAGCCTCCCAAAGGCCCCAGGCGAGCAACTCACAGCCCCATCATGCCTTCGCTCTCAAGTTCAATTTAAATTCTTATTAAACACAACCAATCAAACCGATGAGAACTGAAATCCATCTAGACGTGGGGGGAAAGGAGAGCGCGCGCTGGAGCAGAGGAGCAGTGTCCCCAGCGTGTGTTCCGCTGCTGTGACGCAGCCGGACGCAGGTCCATTTGCAGAACTGGCAGAAAGATTGGCAGAGCTTGGACAGAGAGCTTCAGACAAGACAGTTCCACCTCAAACAGCAAGGGTGCGATTCCACAGCAGGGGGAGAAGTAAAATGTGGAACTGGAGAAGCAGGAGTTTTTTGCTTTTGCTGGTCAATTAGGGGGCGCAGGAATGCTTTTTTGGCAAATGGCAGCATTCCGAGCTTTTGGTTGCAGTGGATATTACATACTCTTCTCTCTAGCACCCATCCTGCTCCCCACTGCAGACATACACATTCTGGGCCCCATAGCGCTCCTCCGCGTGGCATCTTGTGACCTGCCACTTAATATTAATGCTGCAGCCCTGCCCCGAGTTGGTTGGCCTGCGGAAAGCACTTGGTGAACACTGCGCCAGCGGGCCTCCTCTCCAGGGAGGGCTGAATGGGTGTGGAAGACTCCATCCCTCTGCAGGAGCAAAGCAGTGAGCTCCAAACCAGGCTGCTAAATCAAGCGTGGGTCCTGCTGCGTGGGGATCAGGCTCTAGTCGGAGAAGAGCCTGACAAGGAGAAGAGTCTGACAAGACATCTTTGCTCAGACAAGGTCAAACGTGAGAGAGCTCACGTTCTGGTAGGGTCTTGGTCCACAGTTCCAGTTACGCCTCAGTCCCGGAGTGTCCCTGCCCTTCCCTGGATTCTGAGAGTCATCCAACCCCTACTCTGGCCCCCGCTAGTCCGCTAGCACATCTGGACCTCTGTCATTCAAGCACTAGGGGTCCTGACACTTGTGATCAATTCTTTATTTTGATT